TCAAAAGGGTTATAACTGGTGACGAAACATGGGTATATGGTTATGACGTCGAAACCAAAGCCCAATCATCCCAGTGGAAGAGCCCAGGAGAGCCAAGACCGAAAAAGGCACGCCAAGTTCGTTCGAATGTGAAAGTTTTGATCACAGTTTTCTTTGATTACCATGGCGTTGTGCATCAAGAATTCCTACCACAAGGTCGTACGATAAACAAGGAGTATTACCTTGAGGTTATACGGCGTTTGCGTGAATCAATAAGAAAAAAACGTCCGAAAGTGTGGAAAGAAAATTCATGGATTCTGCACAATGATAATGCACCTGCGCACACGTCGTTACTAGTGAGTAGTTTTTTGGCCAAAAACAATACTGTCATCATGCCTCAGCCACCGTATTCACCAGACTTGGCCCCCTGTGACTTTTTCCTCTTCCCAAAATTGAAAAGGCCCATGAAAGGACGAAGATTTGCGACGATTGAGGAGATTAAGGCTGTATCGCTGGAGGAGCTCAAGGCAATACCCAAAAGTGCATTTCAGAAGTGTTTTGACGACTGGAAAAAGCGCTGGCACAAGTGCATTGTATCAGAGGGGGATTATTTTGAAGGGGATAACATAATTTTGGATGAATAAATGAATATTTTTTTATAAAAATGAAAAGTCACCTTACTTTTTGATCACACCTCGTATAATTATACAGGGTGTCCAATTTTATTCGATCACCTCAAATATCTCTTGAATAACGCGTTTTAAGGAAAAATGTTTCAGACAAAAGCTTTGAGGGGGACATTTAAGATGGTACCATTGGTTTGATTTTGGGTGGCGTCGTCAAGGTCAGGGCAATGTCACTTCGAATTTTTTAAACGGAACTCCTCATTTTTCATTACGTATTCTTGTAGCTTACTTCGAGAGCTTTCCAAAACACTATAATTAAATTAATTTTCATTAAGTACTTTTCAAGTTATAAGGCTCGCAAGTTACAGCACCACTGACATTAGCATTACCCAAGGTGTCCGATCGACGGCTAAAATCTCTTGAATGTTCAGAACATGATCTTGAACAACATTTAAGAGGTTTTAGCCGTCGGTCGGGCACATTGCGTAATGTTAATGTCTGCATGCGGTACTGTAACTTGCAAGCCTTATAACAGGAAAAGTACTTAATGAAAATGAACTTAATTACAGTGTTTTGGAAAGCTCTCGAGCTAAGCTACAAGAATACGTAATGAATACGTAATGAAAAATGGGGAGTTCTGTTTAAAAAATTCTAAGTTACATTGCCCTGAACATGACGACGCCACCCAAAATCAAACCCATGACACCATCTTATGTCCTCCTAAAAGTCCTAAAA